CCAAACGAACAGCCTCCATCTCGAGGAGATTGATGTGCCAACTCCGTCGTACAGAGTCCCAAGTCCCTCGGGCAGTCCTGCCTTCGCACACAGCTCCCCAACCCATCTGGGATGCATCGGCAGTTACAGTAACTCGGGCTGCCCCAAAGCCTAGGGGAACCCCGTCTGCGACAGCTCTGGAACCCATCCACCACGTGAGGGTCTGGAGGCACGTGCGGGACAGGGTTACCTTCCTCAACCTGTCCCTGGGCATGGAGAGCCTTTGGGACACAAACCACCTCTGAAGTGGTCGTGTGTGCAGAAGACCCAGAGGCACCGCCTGGGAACCTGCCGTCAAAAGACCTAGCAGCCTCTGGCATTGCAGAGCAGTCACAGTGCACCGAGCAAGGCAACTTGCTATGCACTCCCTGATGGCCGTCACCCGCTTTGGTGTCAGGCAGGCAGTCATTGTGACTGAGTTCAGGACCAGCCCCAAATACTCCACCGAAGTGCTCGGGACAAGGCGGCTCTTCTCTGCATTCAGGTGAAGACCTAAAGAAGTTAGATGGTCGAGAACGACTGTAGTGTGCTCGCGAGCCATGCTTGGGGACGGAGTGCACACCAGCCAATCGTCCAAATAGTTCAGCACTCTGATACCCCTCCTCCGGAGTGGGGAGAGTGCGGCATCGATGCACTTTGTGAAAGTTCGAGGAGACAGTGACAGGCCAAACGGGAGCACATTGTACTCGTAAGCTACACCTCGGAATGCAAACCGCAGGTAGCGACGATGACCCGGATGAATGGGCACATGAAAATAGGCATCGCGTAGGTCCACAGTCGTGAACCAGTCGCCTGCTCGAATGGCCTGAAATAATGCTGTCAGTTTGAGCATCCTGAACGGGAGAACCTTGAGGTACTTGTTTAACCTCCTCAGGTCGAGAATGGGGCGGAAACCACTTGTGCGCTTTGGGACAAGGAAATACGGGAGTAGAACCCCTGATTTTCCTCCTGTGGATCCAGTGGACGTATAGCCTTTTTGGAGAGTAAGGCCGAGATCTCGCTGGCAAGCACTCCTGAAAGAGACTTGTCTCCCACCTTTGTCCATAAAATGCCCCGAAAGCGTGGAGCGTGGAGGCGGAATTGCAGACGGTAGCCGCACTCCAGGGTCTTTAGCACCCATGGGCATGAAGTACACTGGCGCCAAGCACTGAGATGGGTGCTTGAAAAACTTGACGCCAGCCGGAGCGCATAGTCAGGAACACTGGGCAGACTTGGGCGGACCCTGTGCACCGCGCTCCCGAGAACGAGTACGGACCTTCTGTCGGCCCATTCGGGGAACAAAGGCCTGTCTACCACCTCCAGAATCCTGTGAGGAACCTTGAACCACTGACTGAGGTCTTTGTGGGCCAATACGTCTCTCTGGGGCCATCCGAGGACGCGACCTCAAGAGCCCCTGATTGCGCATGGTTCGACTGCGCATTCGCACTTTTTGGGCTTCATCCAAGGCTGCCTCTGCAGCCGCACCAAACACATGACCAGGCGAAATGCTGGCTCCCAAAACAGCAGCATGTTCCGCCTCCGACAAGGCAGTCTGGCTCAACCAAATGTGGCGCCTGGCCATGGTAAGATGGGCCAAGGAGTTACCCAGGACCTTGGCCTGAGCACTCGCTCCCTGAATCACCATATCCATGATATTAGACATTTCAGGCATGAGCTCAGATGGGCTCTTAGAATCCAGATCTCGGATCAGGCCCTCCAGATACACCAGAAGTAGAGCACTGGTGTTTGCCAGTCTAGCAGCCATGGCAGTAGACTGATAGGCTTTCGCCACAAAGCCATCAGTAGCCCTGCACTTCTTATTGGGATGACGGGCGACCCGGCCCGAAGGGGATGCCCCAGCCAGGAGTGCAAATGAAGGTTCCACCTGTAGGGTCCCATCCAACCCATGCTCAGCAGCATTGTGAAGCACACTTAGTGCAGAGCGGGGAAGCAAAGCTTCTCTTGGCCGAGCCCACGACTCGTGGAGACGGGACACAAAATCCAAATAGACGGGCAAAAGGGCATAGCCCTGGCGGCCCGAACCCCGATCTAATGCAGAAGCCTTGGGTGGAGATGGAGGAGCAGGAAGACCTGCAGCAGCGGCCGCTCGTGTGAGCAGGGCTTTAATAGAGAAGTCACCCATCTCAGATGACGGTCCTTCTCCAGCAACATCATCCAACATAACCTGCTCCTCCTCGTAACCGTCCAACAAAGCAGAGGAGCCGCAGCCTGAGCTGCCGGTCTTACCCAAGTTACCCGAAGCGGCCAGTGAAACGGCATCAGGATGAGAAAACCCACGCAGAGGGGCTTGATTCTCCAGCAGCCGCTGTTGTGCAGCAGCCATGGTGTCAATGGTCTTACGCATAGCCTCCAGTTGTTTCTGGAGATGATCTACCCTGGGGTCATAAACGTGGTCATGTGCCCGTTTACCACCAGACTTCCGCGTCGCTTTACGGGGGGGAGGAGAATCCACCTCCTGACCAGGTGGCAGCGTCTCCATAACAGTAACACAATCCATGTGGTCACTATCCACCTCCGAAGCCATTTCGACACAGGAGATTCACACTAGGAGAGTGAAGTCCCCTGTTGCACAAACAAATGAAAAAGAAGTTTATGTGCACGTATATTATATCATAATATTATAATATAGAAAAATACAAGCACTAAGGAGAGCAGACCTCAGCAGAAAGCTGCAATACCTCTCCAAGCCAGGAGGCGGCGAAGCGCGCTCTCACGGCACTACAAACAGAGCTAAGTTAGCATAACAAATGCACAAGCCGGCTAGATAGCAAAGGTTGCAACCGGCAAACGGGAGCGATACACTCACCAAACTGCAACAAAATTGACACGGAACGCCAGGGGGGTACTACAACAAGGAGCAGCCCAAATCAGCGATGATCCGTGAACAAAATGGCGAAAATCTCAAGCCGCGCGGCATAAGCTCTCAACGACCAGGAGGATAGAAAGAGGGTGAGTGTGTGCACGCGCGCCATTCATATAGGTGTAGCGCGCACCCACAGGTGTGTTTAATTTGGCATAATGCTCCTGACCCGAGGGTTGTAGTCACGTGGTTACAGGTTCACTGAAATGAAATAGAACTGGGACATTTCAGCGTTCCGAGGAACTTTTGGTGGCATTTCATGCGAGAAATGAAGCTGAAATGAAGGTTAAGACTGACTGATGCTCGCTGTGGCTGTAGCCATGAATGTTTTAGTCTGAACATGCAGAGAATGCTGATATTTACTAATTAGCCCTGGGATAACGTTACGTCTGATGTTGCCAACTGGCTCCAGTTTGTTATCTAACATATAGGTGCAATTTCCCGTTCAGAGGAGGTGTTTCTACACAATATTCCACAGCAGCGTTCATTTCCCGAATTCAATGTGGCAAGACAAGACATTTTTACAATAAATTTTAATTAACCCACTTGTTGGTCGCTGTTGTAGCTTCTTGTGCTATTACTCTGTTTTTACCCTCTGCTACAAACTTAAGCATGCGCAGTCTTGATCTTGATCGATGTTTCTTCTGCTCGATAAATAATGTCTGTGAAGTGATGACGTATTTTTGTAAAATTCCGTCTGTAAATTCGTAATCGTACTGATGAAAGCATAATCATAAATTTTCATTTCGTAATTGTAATTCTTGACGTCGTAACTTTTCAATTCGTATTCTGATGGATAAAATACGCACAATATATTTTATGTACGACTGGACTCATTTGAGAGTTTACAAATATTTATTTTATGCGCAACTACAGCCAAATATGCACGGATTTCCCAAATACGCACGGATTTCTATTCTATGTGCACATATATTTTTGAAAGCTTTCTTACTCCATAGAAATGCGCCAAACAAAATCATTTTAAAATAGTAATAATAATGGCCTGTGCTGGGGGGTGGGGCACCAGTGGCCGCTGGGGGGTCACGGCCCTTAAATGCCCCACCTTGCCGCCAACACCGTTCTGACAGCGGTGCTAGCTTGTGTTGCGGCTTCATGTTTAGCCACACAGACAGCCTCGCTTTCTGCACTCATCCGCTGTGTCGATAAACACAGCGCACGTTGGTTCAAGCGTCATTACCCTTGTTAAACGAGATAAGTCAGAGAGCGATAGAAACCTTGTAACATTCACCCTCTTTGAGAGCGAGAGGGAGCGAGGAAAACAAACAAGCATGCAAATAGAATTTATCGTGGCTAGAAAAGTTACCGAGCTTGTTAAAAGTTATCATACATTAATTGATTTATTGATTATCGTTACAGGCTTCAAGTTAATTTAAGTTTGTATGCATTACTATGGATGTCAGTATGTGTAAAGCACTTTTCTTCTCTGTGAACTGTGTAGCTCTCAGTCAGTGGAATGTAATGAATACTGTATTGAGGTCTTTTTTCATCATGCCCCTGATTACGCAAATTGGAGAGAAAATAGTCTTATCTAATCTTATCAAGAACACAATAAAATAAAAAGTATTACCATACAATACAATTAAAATAATCAATTAATGATGCTTGACATTTTGTGCCCGTGTAATTTAGGCACAGGCAAAACTTCATTATGGCTGTGCAATTAACTGAACTAAATAAAATAATAATAATAATAATAATAATACAATAATATTTCATTTAATTTAATGCTGATGACAGTTATTGATCCTATATGAAAATACTAAATAAAGCTAGGTTATTTCTATAACAAATATTACTCTATTTTTCTAAAAAAGTCTTCGGGAAAAGTCCAATTCTGTCCTAGATATGTAATTTCTTTCATACCAGGACTTGCTCAAATGAGTATCTAGTTTTGATTCCATAGTTTACTAGTTTAGTTTTAGTCTTAATCTGGGTATGGATTTTTTGGAAACCATCAAATATAATAAAATGATAATATTTTTTCTCAAAACACTATTATTAGGTCAATTGGATTTTGTTCTAAAAAAAATAATTAATTACTGTATTATGATTTCAGTATGCACAGTCATATTTTTCACAC